CTTCATCCTCATCAACTAATATAAGAGAAGATGCCCTTTCTCAAGTATTAGGAAGAGATAAGTCTGGACAACTGAGATGAATGAGAAGGGGAGCTACTATAGGTAAAATATCTTTCTTACAAGCAAGAGATAACACTACTACAAATATGAGATACCACATCATACATTTTACGGCGGTTTTTGAATAACCGTCGTCATAGTATATGGGGTGACTTTACACGTCGGTTGCCTATGAGAAAGGATGTGATATCTTTGTTTGCAAAAAGTCCGTACTATATCTTACGATGGTTTAAAATGGAATCGACGTCACAAATTGTTCCGATTTTTTTAATAGGCTTTAAATTTACGATCTTTGTTTTAAAACCAAATATCTGTAGCCCGTACTTTGGCAGTTCACCCTTATAACCCCCTAACCCATACACACACTAATACACGAGCAATCGACAGAGGCATACTCGATGGACCTTATCGGTAATGTTTGATGCTTCTTGGGGCATCTTTGCCGACGGCCGACGATGAAGTCACCAGATGAATTGCCAAGTGAACAGATCAGGTCCGGACGCGGCTGCTACGCGGGGAGAATAAGGGGAACATACTTCACGTATCCACTCCCTTGGTTGGGAGTTGTCCTGCCCTGCTTTTAGATCGATACACAGTTGAGGAGGCCGACAACGAACGCTACAAGTTTGGGAGGGGAACTCTCTAGCCCAAAAGAATCTCGCGCCTCACTCCTCGTTGGAAATCTGCTTGACCTCCACCTCCTAGTAGTATCTTCAATTTTCTCTTTCTCTCAATGTTTATGCGTGTTAATTTAGCATCCAATTTCTTTAATTACTCATCGATTTGGTATTTTTTTTAACCGGATTTTGCTTGATTTTTAAGTCTAGGTTAGTTTTTGACTAATTATTAGTTGTGAATCATTTTGTTTGGTTTTGTAGTTTTTCCATTGGTTCGAAGGTAATCTGGATCGATGGAAATGGTTACCTTCAAGACGTGTGATTGTAAAAGTAAATCCATTGCTTCTCTCTAGATGTTTCTGTTACAAGCCTTACATGAGTTATAGTATTAGTTAAATACGGAATACTATAAAATCAGTTGTTGTTATCCTACAATTTCCAGGATTTTCTGGGGAAACTTCCGTTCAACTTACTTTTCCCATGTTATGAATAGTATGAGTAATACACTAAATGAATGTCTGTTAGTTTGATGTTATTTGGCTACTACTTAGAAGGAATTGAAGCACTTCATGAGGTTTGATAAAGTGTGGTTATTATTTGGTTATTTTATTTCAGTATTATCATTTACTAAAATGTGTTCTCTTTTAATAATTTTATGTGTTTAGTGAGATCCAATTGCAAGAACAATGAAATATGTTATTCTTTAAAGGTGTCGTACTGATAACATTCATACGATGCAGCGGAAAAAAATATGAGAAGAGAATATCTTGTTTATTTGTTCATGCTCCATTACATTCGGCCGCAGGGGTATATATCATATACGAACCTTTCTTCCCTTAGGAGTCTAATGGAAAGAATATACTAGATACAATATGAAATCTCCAAAAATCATGCGGCTACCAAAAACATACTCCAAGAAAAAAACAACTACCAAAATTAAATGTATCTAGAATTTTCTAATTAGTATACCCGTAAAATACCCCCCTCAAGTTGGAGCATGCAGATTGAAAATGCCCAACTTATGAAGTAAATATTGAAATTGAGTCTTCCCAAGAGCTTTGGTGAATATATCTGCCAGCTGAGAAGTCGTGGGAACATAATTAAGATGAATAAGACCATCTTGAACAGCATTGCGCACAAAGTGACAGTCAACCTCTATGTGTTTCGTGCGTTCATAAAAGACAGGATTTTGGCAATGTGAATAGCAGATTGACTATCACAATAAAGGGGTATAGAGTGAGGATGATGAACACCCAAACTAAGAAGCAACGCTTTTAGCCATTTGAGTTCACAAGTTGTCGCAGCCATGGATCTGTATTCAGCTTCGGCTGAAGATCTGGACACCGTGTTTTGTTTCTTGGTTTTCCAAGAGATATGGGATCCACCAAGAAAAATTAACCAACCGGTGACGGATTTGCGAGTGAGAGGGCAAGCGGCCCAGTCCGAATCGCACCAACCTGTGAGAGTAAAATTATTATCTGCACGAAGAAGGATCCCTTGACCAGGAGACCCTTTCAAGTATCGAACTACGCGTAAAGCCGCCTCCCAATGTTCTTGCTTAGGATCCTGCATAAACTGAGATAAGATATGTACTGAGTAGGCCAAATCAGGTCGGGTAACGTCCAAGTATATCAACCGCCCTACTAGACGTCTGTAAGACTCAGGATCAGCAAGAGAAGGCCCCTGGGCATGAGCAAGAGCATGATTATGCTCAATAGGAAAGGACGCGGGTTTAGCCCCGAGTAAACCGGCTTCAGATATAATGTCAAGAGCATATTTCCGTTGTGAAAGGAATAACCCAGAAGAACTACGAGCCACCTCTATTCCAAGTGATGGAATGTCTACCCGGGGGGTATCTTATCCGAGGGGTTATTGCGGGAATAACTAGAGAGAAGTCAGAGCAAAATAGGAGGAGAGAGAGTCGATTTATTAAATGAACTCGAGATGTCAGATCTGGGATCGTTTACAATGGGAAATGGGCTGCTATTTATAGCAGCAATAAATGCGATGAGAGTACACGTGTCAGTAATCCAACGGCCGAGGGGTCACATCAATCGGGTGGCACCAGCAGTGGTACGTTCACCGCATTGAATGCGGTTGGCGGATGTGACGTTGCATTAAATGCGGTGGTTGACTGTCCCCAAAAGGAATCTTCGATGATTGAGCATGTTTGGCCGAAGGCTCCTCGTGTAGTTGAGGGCTCCATGTGTAGACAAAGGCCCCGCGTGACCGGAGGCTTGGTTCAGCCGAAGGCTCCTCTGATGCCGAGGGCTTTATGATGCCGAGGGCTTGATGATGCCGAAGGCTTCTGTTTCCGCCGTTTTCACCCAGTAGTATCGTGTGCCCAAAAAGGCTATCCTGTGAGTCTCGGAGCCTTCGGCCAGGGAGGCCGAAGGCACCCCAGTGTGTATTCTGGGCTTCTTTGACGCTTGGGCCGTTGCATTTGGGCTTGAGATGTTCCCTGGGCTTAATGGACCTGTGTAGGAGAAGTAGGAGTCTATGGGCCGGGGGCTCCTGGGCCATATACTCCATCACCAAGAAAATATTTTAGAGTACCCAAATCTTTCATATGAAAACAGGTACTAAGATAATTTTTAAATGCCTTAATTGATTCAGAATGACTACCAGAAATAATCAAGTCATCCACATAAACAAGAACGTTTTAATTGTGCATCACCCTTGGTGAGAGTAAAAAGAGAGTAATCGGCAAAGGATTGAGTGAAACCATAATGCTTCAAAGCCGTTACTAATTTGGCAAACCAGCAGCGGGGAGCCTGTTTAAGTCCGTAGAGAGATTTTCGGAGGCGGCATACTAGCGTAGAATTAGAGGTTTTAAAACCCGGTGGAACAGCCATATAAACTTCTTCATTTAAGTCTCCATGAAGGAACACATTATGAACGTCCATTTGATGAAGTTCTCAGTTTTTGGAAACGGCAACAGCCAGAAATGCGCGGACAGTTACCATTTTAGCAACTGGAGCAAATGTCTCGGTGTAATCCAACCCTTCGATCTGCCGATTACCGAGAATAACCAGACGGGCCTTGAAACGTTCAATGCTGCCATCAGAGTTATATTTAATTTTATATACCCACTTGCAACCCAAAGCACGTTTGCCATGCGGGAGAGGTTCCATGGTCCATGTGGCGTTATCTTCAAGGGCTTTTATTTCAGAGCTCATGGCTTCCCGCCATTCAGTATGATTTATAGCTTCACGAAAAGATCTGGGTTCATGCCCTGCGGAGATAGCAGCAAGAAAAACACGATGTTTTGTCAAAAAAACGCTCACAATTAATATAGTGTGCTATAGGGAACGGCGTACATGAAGAAGTTGATGAAGGAGATGGTGCGGAGAATGGACTAGTAAATATTGTATGAGTAACATAGTCCTTGAGTTTGACTGAGGGAATTTTGTTTCGTTGGCCACGACCCAATACTTCCGGAATTGTTGGAGAAATTTCGGCATCTTCATTGGAAGAAGAATCTGTGATGCCAGCATCTTCCGTAGTGCCTTGATGCTCTGTGGAACCCCCTGCCACTCCTTGGAAAAATGTTTGAGTGACTGGTGGTGGAGAATAAATGGCCGGGTACCCCACTGAATCAAGTATTGGTGTAGAATTGTCTTCTGCATGCATTTCTCGCAAATCCGTTGGAGCACCAGAATTGAATGGAAATTGATTTTCCAAAAATTTGACATTCCGTGATACAAAGTATTCTTGGGTCTCAATATCATAAACATGCCATCCTTTCTTCCCAAAAATATATCCAACAAAGATACATTTTCGACTCCTGCTAGAAAATTTATCCCGCTTGGAATGCAAGTTGTGAGCATAACACAAACACCCAAACACCCGCAAAGTGTCATAGTTGGGTGCTATCCCAAACAAAATTTCATACGGAGTTTTGTAATCAAGCACACTTGAAGGTGTTCTATTAATTAAATGTGCGGCGGTAAGAACACATTCACCCCAAAAACGGATGGGTAAAGAGGCTTGAAAACGCAGAGCACGAGCAACATTGAGAATGTGACGGTGTTTACGTTCAACCCTACCATTCTGCTGGGGAGTATCAACGCAAGATGTTTGAAAAATTATACCATTCTCAAAAAAATACTTTTTGAGTCCACTAAACTCCGTCCCATTATCACTTCGTACCGTTTTAATGTGTTTAGAAAATTGCCGTTCAACCATAGCTGTGAAAGCTAAAAACATTGGCACTACTTCCTTTTTATCCAACAGTAAGTAGACCCACACACCTCTAGAACAATCATCCACAATAGTCAAAAAATACTTTGCTCCGCAAGAAGAAGGAGTATTGTATGGGGCCCACAAATCACAATGAACAAGATCAAAAATATCCGTAGCATGACTATTACTAACAGAAAAAGAATCCTTCGTCTGCTTAGATCGGAAACAAGTATCACAAAAAGAAGAAAAATCACCCTTGCCGCCACTCATAAAAGACATTTTCTTCATGACCTGAGATGATGGATGGCCGAGTCGCTTGTGCCATAAATCCCCTGAAAGCAAATCTGTATAAACTGACTGAATAGTTGCTGAGGCTCGTAAGTAATATAGTCCATTCTCCCGCTCACCCGCTCCAATCAGCTTCTTCGAGTGACGGTCCTGTATAACACAAATATTAGCTGTGAATTGTACAAAACAGTCAAGTGCATTATTAAGTTGAGAAACAGATAGTAAATTGCATTTTAGGCTGGGAACGTAAAGCACACAATCCAATTCAATATCACTGGTCAATTTAATTGACCCTTCCTTGGTAGCGAGAACACTCTGTCCATCAGGTAGGCCCGCGGTGCAAGCAGCAATCTCTTTAACATTAAACAAAAAATTAAGGTTTCCGGTGACGTGATTAGATGCCCCGATGTCGATAATCCAACGCATATGATTATCCTTACCAGACATGCATTCGGTAGTTTTTTGAGAATTACCAAAAACTGTCATGAGGGCTTTCCATTCCTCCGATATGAATCCCGGCGGCGGTGAATTCTGCCCATTCCCAGGTTCAGCGATAGTTTCTACCATGGCAGACGTATCTCACCTTGTAGTCTCTGATACCATGATAACATTCATACGATGCAGCGGGAAAAATATGAGAAGAGAATAATCTTGTTTATTTGTTCATGCTCCATTGCATTCGGCCGCAGGGGTATATATCATATACGAACCTTTCTTCCCTTAGGAGTCTAATGGAAAAAATATACTAGATACAATATGAAATCTCCAAAAATCATGCGGCTACCAAAAACAGACTCTAAGAAAAAAACAACTACCAAAATTAAATGTATCTAGAATTTTCTAACTAGTATACCCGTAAAATACGTACCAAGCCGTGGGTAAATAGTTATTATTAGAGTGGTGAGGCTAGGTGTTCAATTTGCAATTTCCTTTTTTATACATCAAAACAGTACTAGTAATCTTCTTGAATATGTAGATTTTAAGTTTTCTAGCATGCCAAGTAAGAAAAGTTCAAATGTCAAGGTCAAATGCCGATCTTTATTTTAAAAATATTACTTATTATAGGGGCTTATAGAGTGAGAAGCTGAAATAAACAGGTCATAAAACATATTCCTAGTAGAATTTGAAGTATATATTTTACTTTGTAATATGATTGAAACCATGTTTCTATTATTATGAAGTTTTTTAGAGTCTATAAATTATTTCATTTGTTTCTGACTTGCAGGAAATAGAGTGGTGATGTGCCCATTACGTCTTATAATACATTTAAACTTTATAGCAAGTTAAAATCTGCAATGTACTAAGCCACTAACTAGTATGTTAGGAAAATAGCAGTGTACTAAAACTGTTGGGTGCTGTAATTTTCTTTTAGTATGATACTTTGATATGATATGATGCATATTAGTATCTTAGTAACTGTAAGGAATAAATGTGATTAGATTTTGATGATGCTAGGATATTAGAAATTTAAAGTACCCCTAATAGAAATTTTGTATTAGAGAATTTCAGTTGTAAGTTTTAGAATAGTCGACTGGTCAGAGACCCTCTGTGTGAGAGTTGCTCATCAGAGATGCACCAGAGTTGCTCCTCGGAGTTTATCAGAGTTGCTATGTGGATCTGATCAGAGCTGCTCTATGAGAACTGCTTTCAGAGTCGCTCTCGGAAGACCTGAGAGTTGCTCATCAGAGAAGCATCAGAGTTGCTCTTCAGAGACTCATCAGAAGTCTACATCAGAAAGCCATCAGAGTTCGATGAAAAAGCTTCATCAGAATTCAACTTCAGAGAAGTATCAGAGTTACTTATCTAAGTTCATCAGAATCCAAGGTCAGAATGCCATCAGAGAATCTCATCAGACCTGGATAAACACTTAGAAAGATTTCGAAGCTGCTTTCAACAGCAGTATAACAAACGGAAAATCTTCCAACGGTTAGAAGATATCTCATCTAAGGAAAGCATTTAATGCTCATTTAATGAGCCTGATACGCTGTGGAGTAATTGCAGATGATTGACCGAGATTCCTGGAGAATATTATACAAAAATAGAAACCTGCCAAAACTGCGGGTCCAACCGGTCAACTCCACAGTATGCGCATTCAATGCAGTTGTCTCATCCTCCAACGGGCAGACAACCCCAGTATAAAAGATACTCGATGAAGAACAATCGGATAACTTTGCTACAACTTCTGCTCTCATAATACTACAAGCATTCTTGAGATTCAAACTCCTCAATCATTAAACAAGAAATAGCTTTCGTTGGGAAGATTCAAACTCTCAAAATCTCTCAACCCCAACAAGAGCAAAGTCCATCCTGTTCTTCAACCTTCAAGAACTTCAACTACTCATCCTTTGTAACGAAGCAAGTTGGAGAAAACTTTGTTTTTCAGAACATCTTCTGCAAAGAAGGGCGTCCAAGTAACTGCAGTAGTGAAGTGGTGATATGTGACACTCCATAAACTTAATAAAAAGAATTTAATATTAACTAAGATGTGGTATTCATTTGTGGATAAATTTTCTTTAGTTTATGTTTCGGGACGAAACATCTTTTAAGGAGGGTAGAATGTGACACCCCGAAAATTAAAATAATAATAATAATAATAAATATAAATTATATCAGTCAGATAAAATGTTACGAAAGTGACAATTTAATAATTAAGTGAATGACATAAAATTTTAACATCGGTGACATTTTTAATCTGATAAAAATGTTTCGGTAATAAAAGTGACATTTTAACAATTTTAATTGAAGGGTATTAATTATAAATATGTGTGCCGAAAATACACTAAATACCATACAAAAAAAAGGTGTTAAAAAGAGTTGACTTTTTCCAACCGTGTACCACACACAATAATACGTAGGTAATAATAGATGGTAATAATATTGGAGAATGATATAAAGAAGTGTACACATTCACATGCATGCCAACACATTCACATGCATGCGTACTAACCATAGGATCACATTAGTACAAGGAGTAACAATAATGTATACAAAAAAAAATACACATTCACGCACATGTATATGTTAAAGCCAAGCCCATCGCCAACTAACCTACACTCACATGGGTTGTTCGTAGCTACAACCTCCAACCTCATAGTATAAATAAGCAAGAACAGACCTTCAACTCTCTTCATCCCCAAACCTGCGGTATATATATATATATATATATATATATATATATATATATATATATATATACACAAATTTCGACCCTTCGTTTTAGTCAAAACCGAGCCATGAAAACACCATAGAGACCTTCCCCTTCTCGAGAGGAATCCAACGGTGAAAGAATCGTTGAAAACGATCGTGAAACGACGGAGAACAAGCTTGCCGGAGTTCCGTCGGGCTAACCGTAAAGACGGAAAACGGAGAAGAAGGAGGAGCTGCCGCTGCCGCCAACCCATCACCGACCTTTGCCGTCCCAAAACGAGTCTTCTACCACCACCGTATCACGAATCCGTCGAGGAGAGATTGGCGAATTCGTTGAAGACGTGAACTAGATTTCGAGTAGGGTTAGAGCAAAAGCGTGATTTTGAGGTAAGTTTCTCTGCCGATCCAAAATGGTTTCCTCGTATTATATGTTATTATGTGATTAAAGTGTGAATTTTGAATATGTATTATTTGAAGTAACATTAAATTATATTGTTTGAGAAAGTTGAGATATGTGGTACTAAATATTTTTAAATACCTTTGAGACTATTTAGAGGGATTGAGAAATATTTTTTGGAAGTATATCTAAAGTCAAGATAAAATTTACGTTTTCATAAGAAGTGAGCACCCGGGAGAAATCCGTGGTGTCGGTTTTCCACATCCGGATAAATGTGGAGGGTGATTAAGGCTGCTACTACTAAGAAGTACAGTTTGAGTTTGAAGTGACGTTTGGATCTATGATCCCTTTTAAGAAGAAGTTATAGTAGTAGTAGTCCCTAATCATTCAAGAATTTTAAAGGTGGGGTAGTTGGTAGACTGAGTCCCGATTACTCGTGATGACTTACTACTCGAAGGGCTTGGAATCCCTTTTTGGGGGTGTGCACACTTAAGGTAGTCGTTTCGTTTCCATTAGCAGTTGTGGTACCGGCAAAAGTCCCGGGGTGGCCGTACATAACAACGTAACCACCGGGCTCAACCAGAGTGTTGAGCACCGCCCTTCTAAATTACTAGGAGGATAGAGAAGAAGTGACTTTTGAGAAATTCTAAGAAAAGAGTTACTGTAGTATTTCCAATGAAAAGTTGAGGACTTTATTAAAGAAGTGATTTTGAGAAATATCATAGAGAAAAGAATTTTTGGTGGAGTGTGTCATTTTTATATAGTATTATATGAAAAACTATTTTTCGCCAAACCTGATTATTTTACGGGGTTGGGTAGTACTTACTTAGCTCTAAAGCTAATTTTTGTTTCTTTTTCCCTGTTTTGTTTTCTGCATTTTATTTGTGCATGTAATGATGCTTATTTGGATTGATGATTTGCATGGTCTTGAGAGCGGTTGAGATATGCCTTAGTCAAACCTAGTCAAGAATAAACACTTTAGTTATGTTGAACACTTGTTTTACTTTGTTTTGTGATTGCCTGTGCATTCGGTTAAGAGATGACCGGATGTGGCGGTAACACCCATTTCCCAATTAATGTTATTTCCGCTGCAAAACTTTTCATCTGTTTTGAATAAATCAAGTTTATTATCAATAAATCTATTATTTCAAGTATTATTTTGAGAGGGAAAATTGGGGTGTTACAAATTGGTATCAGAGCATTTCTGTGAGATTTTTCAAAGCATTTATCCAAAAAGGTTTCTTTAAAAAAAATCAAATATTTCTGAGGTTTTCTAACTCTTTAAGAGATACAACAAGTTGGTATGAAAGTCTGATTTTCAAATTAGAAATTTTCAAATAAACTTCACTTTACGTGACTATACATGATCTTCAAAAAGGCTTTATTTTTAAAACCGACGATTGAAAATTTTCCAAGATGCTTTCTAAAACGTTTTTCCCTTTATAAGAATTTTTTTTTACCGGTTTTCTAAATGCTCTACAAAAAAAAAAATAGGAAAAATAAATCTTATAAGTCTAGGATCGTGGTGAGATTGTGAGATTTTGATTTTTGTTGGAATTTGATAATGATTTAAAATAGGTATATTTGTTTGTATGTTCATATATATATGCTGCTTGTCTAGGAAAGACTTGGAACCATTGAGATGAAACCTTTGAGGTATGGTCATATTTGCTCGGTGTTTCATTTGGTGGAATATACGGTAGGAGGGTCCTAATTAGAAAATTTTAAGATTATATATATGCTTCGGGGACGAAGCATTCTTTTAAGGGAGGTAGAATGTAACATTTCATAATTTTATATAGTAGAAATTGGATAAAAGTTTATGCTTCGGGGACGAAGCATTTTTTTAAGGAGGGTAGAATGTGACACTCCATAAACTTAATAAAAAGAATTTAATATTAACTAAGATGTGGTATTCATTTGTGGATAAATTTTCTTTAGTTTATGTTTCGGGACGAAACATCTTTTAAGGAGGGTAGAATGTGACACCCCGAAAATTAAAAAAATAATAATAATAATAAATATAAATTATATCAGTCAGATAAAATGTTACGAAAGTGACAATTTAATAATTAAGTGAATGACATAAAATTTTAACATCGGTGACATTTTTAATCTGATAAAA